AAGGCTGGAGGGAAGCTGACTGGAGCGTGACCAGGCCTCTGCAGGGGCTAAGTATGACTGTGGAGGGGTTTAAACCCCAACCCTGGCCTGCAGGGACACTAGCTGGGGTGTACCTAGAGGGGGAGGGGGGAACAGCCCTTGTCAGGGGGTCCCTAAGGCCAGACACCTGCTAGGGCAGTGCCGCAGGCAAAGGGGCCCAGGGGTGGGGATTAAACTCCCCTGTCTCTAGTTGGGCATGGGACCCCGTCCCAGTCAGGGTCTGCCCAGCTTTCCCCTCTTCTCTTGCTTGGGTGGCAGGGGGCCTGGCTAGAGCCAGCTGGCATGGCCCTGCTATCCACCCAGGGCTGGGGCTGCAGGGCTGAGTTGAGCCAGCTTGCAGATGCTGCTGAGGGCGGATGCAGAAGGACATCCTGGGTTGGGGCCAGATTGCTCCCTGCTCCCAAGCTGGGCAGGGCTATCATGGAGCCCCAGCTGGCTGGGAAGGGCCCCACGGGACCAGCCCATGGGGGCAGAGCCCTTCCCAGTCCACTGCAGCTGCATGACAGCCCAGCCCAGCAGCATGGGTAGAGGCTGGCTGGGGAGCGGGCTTCCCGGGCAAGCTCAGAGGTACTAGTGGGTCCTGAACCTGGCAGCCACACCCTCTGTCCTGGGGCTGCAGATGCATAACCAACTGCAGGCTGGCTGGCGCCAGGAGGGGCAGGGGGGTGTTCTGCCCCCTCACCTCCAGCTGCCACAGATGTGCCATACTGCTCTGATTGGGGGAGGGGGAGGGGAGTTTCAGCCCCACAGCTTCTGCCCAGCATGTGGAGCTCTGGCTCCAGCTCTCAGATGCTTTGGAAGGCAGAAGACATCTGGGTGGAAGGCATCTGGAACTGCAGCTGGAGCTCCACACACAGGGTACAAGCTGCCGGGCTGGGCAGAGCTGTTGTTCTCCCATCACGTTCAGCTGTGGCTCCTGCTGCATCACACAGCACCACTCAGGGCTGGGGGAGCTTTCTTCAACCCAGCAGCTTCAGCTCAGCTCGGGGAGCTCTGGCTCCAGCTCCGACTGCTTTCAACCCACTCCGCCCACCTCACGCATTCAGTAGCCCTTGCAGGTGAAGCGCAAGGAAAGCATCCAGAAGCTGAGCTGCAGCTGCTAGGCTGAAGAAAGCTCCCCCTGCCCCAAGCAGTGCTGCATGGTGCAGCAGGGGCAGATGCTGCAGTTGGATGTAATGGGAAAAAAACAGCCCTGCCAAGCCAAGCCAGCTTCCCCTCGCCTCCAGCGGCTCCTCCCTCTCCTACTCCTATTGATGCTACGCCACCTCTGGTGAGGCAGGGGTGGGTGGGAGGAGGTTCACCCTGGCAGCTTCTGCCCTACACATGGAGCTCTGGCTGCAGCTCCCAGACGCCTTCCACCCAGGCGCCTTCTGCCTTCCAAGGCATCCAGGAGCTGGAGTCAGAGCTCCACGTGCTGGGCAGAAGATGCAGGGCTGAAGCTTCCTGCCCCTCCCCCCAACCAGAGTGGCATGGGGCAGCGCAGCCACGGCAGTAGCAGCTGGAAGTGAGGAGGGCAGAATAACGCCCCCCAGCCCGAGACAGCCCACAGCTGGTTGTGTGCCTGCAGCCCCAGCTGTTGCACAGGACAAGGGGTGCTGTGGCAGCTGCTGGGCTCGGGGCCTGCTGGCACACCCAAGATGGCCCAGGAAACCCACTCTCCAGCCAGCCCCTGCCCATACTGCCAGGCTGGGCTGTCATGCAGCTGCAGCAGGCTGGGAAGGGCCCTGCCCCCATGGGCTGGCCCCGCAGGGCCCTTCCCAGCTGACTGGAGCTCCATGACATCCCTGCCCAGATTGGGCATGGGGAGCCATACAGCCCCCACAACCCCAGCCTGAGCTGTAGCCCCCTGGGAAGGGCCCAGGCCCCGGCCACCCAGCCGGGTTGGCCCCTCTTCCTCCACTCTCAGCAGCAGTTGCAAGCCCTCGGCTCAGCCCTGCAGCCCCAGATGCTGGCAAGGCAGGTAGATGGCAGAGGCCATGCCTGCTGCCTCTGGCCATGCTCCCTCTCCTGCCACTAGAGTGGAGAGGGAGGGAATGGCTGACAGGGGCCACAGTCCCCCACCAGGGGAGAGGAGGAATAAACCCCCTCCGTGCTCCCTTTGCCTCAGTGGGCCAGCATCTGGCCAGGTCCCAGCCCCTGCTCAGGCTAGGGAGTGGAGGGGTGGGGCCAGCCCAGCTCTCTGGAGCAAACAGCCCAGCCCAGGACTGGGATGCTGGAGGACTCTGATTTAACTTAAACCAGGAAGGGATCTGGGACAGAAGTTGCATAAACTGTTAATCAGTTTAAGTCTCATACAATATTCAACCAGGGTTATCTTAAACCAGTTTTGGTCATTTTGAAACTGGTTTATGTTGGTTTATGCTGGTTTATGAAACTTACATTCTGTTATAGGTATAAACCAGTTTCTGATCACTTAAACTGATTTAGGTGTAACTTCTGACCCTAGCCATGGTGTCTGGAGGAAAATCTCATCTTGTAGTTGAGTAAATATGGTAGTTGGATAAGATCGGAGGATAATAATAATACATAGTATTAAGGTGAGAAGACTCACTTCAGCCTCATTGCACTTTTGCTCTTCACAAGGGCCAGAGAGTAAGGAGAGGTGATTCTGACACTAAACACAGCAGGCTTAATTCATTTCCACTTAGAGATTATTTTAATGTTTGAATAGCCCCATGAATTTGAATGATTCCAAACCATAGAAGGGTGGAAGTTTATGTATGTATCCATACCCCTATATATAACATGCATATTCACACACAAACTGACTGTAGTAAATTTTCTGTTTTAAAGAAACACATGCACACACAGACTGCAGCATTTTCTTTTTATATGCACACATCAACTGCAGCATTTATTCTTTTTCATATGTACATACACTAACTAGTTTTCAGTTTTACACACACACATGCACACACATATTGTAGCATTTGCTTTTTATATATGCATGCACACTGACTGTAGCATTTTCTATTTTCAGTACAGATGCAAATGTGTTTCCTACTAACCTCTTCAGTTCTTTGCAAAGTTAGAATTTTTAAGGACTTATCCTCTATAATCAAAAGTAAAGCACAAACCTAGAACAGATTCACTATTGTCCTAAAATAAGTGATATTTAGCATGTAAAGTAATACTATTACTGCAAGTTTTACTCTGGGACTAAATTTGAGCCAAGTTGTTTTATATCTAAACTACATAAACATTTTAAAAGACAGTTGTCATATTTTTACTTGCTATCTCCTCAAAAAATAGACTCTGACGACATCTTAGGTTTTGCTCATTCAGTATTTGCCTTATTGGTAATATATTGAATGAGCTTCTTCACAGTTAGAGTGGCCAAGGTCTGGAACAGGCTCCCAAGGGAGGTGGTGCTCTCCCCTACCCTGGGGGTCTTCAAGAGGAGGTTGGATATCCATCTAGCTGGGGTCATCTAGACCCAGAACTCTTTCCTGCCTATGCAGGGGGTCGGACTCGATGATCTATTGAGGTCCCTTCCGACCCTAACATCTATGAATCTATGAATATTCTTCAAAGTAATGCAAATATTAGCTTCATTTCAACAATATTCACAGATTAGTTTTCCTCAGAAGGTACTTTATTTTTCATGGAACTTGTACATGCAGCCCTGCTTGAAAATATGTATTTTAGCTAGAAACAGGGATGGTAACTATAGAAGACACAGTGATGTCTGGTGCTTTGCTATATATTTTTGCAGTGATTGCTGTATGCCCCATCTCTGCTAGTACTAGTTGTTTATTTGTTGTGGAAAAGTCTACCTGCATAAAACTTCAGTGTCTGAACTGTAGCCAGGTGAAGTGTGGATTGTTGGGAACACCCGGACCAGTGCCAGTGTGCAATGCTGCTGGGTAGTCCATCTTTGCAACCACTATTCCAACTCAAGGTATTTTGTGTTATCTCTCTCCTGCTCTTTTTGAAGAGCTGCAGTTAGCTATAAGGAAGAAGAGGCAAGAACTGATGTGACTATGACACTAACTTCTAAAACGAATTTCATGGAACGCTGTCTCAGGCTTTGTGAAGCTTAATGTCTGGTGGATAAGAGCATGTGATTAAGAACATGTGTTGTGTGTCAATACCTGTTACAGCAGCTACACATCATCAAAAGAACATGTACATGCACCTGTACTCAACATGTGATTAAGAACATGACTTTTGGAGTGTCTATACATGCATATTAATGTGAAGTGATAAACTCTGGCATGTATCATGCCAAAATGTATTGCTCCTGGGATCTGCGTTTACCTGTAAGCCTGGGACCACAGCCTGTTGAGTGGGTCAGAGCAGCCCCAGCTGGCAGGAGGCCCAGGGGGTCACCCTGCCAGGCCGGGGCTGATCCAACCTGGCTCAACATGCTGCAGAGCGGGTAACTGGGGCATGAGGGTGCTTCATTATGGAGCTAACCAGCAGGCAGCCCCCACACCAAAGCACCCTTGTGGCCCCAGCCAGCCAGGTCAGCGTCTACACATACATTGCTGTGCAAAAAAACCTCCACAGCACAATAGTACTTACATGAACAAGTACTAACCTGCTGCAGAGTTTATTAGTTTTCTGTGACCTAATAGAGCCGCACATGTAGAAGCCAAGATGCTAACTGTGGAACTAATTAGTAAACTCTGCAGTAAATGTCTTGTGTAGACATGCCTCTTTAGTATTCAAGACATGAGTCAACACGACTGAATGTCTTAAGAAACAATAGTCATTTTGGTGGTATTTAGAAATATCACAAATTCTGCATGTTATCAAAGTACATTTCCCTAAAATATATGTTTAATGTATGTGTACGACAGGAGGAACAGAAATTAGAATGCAAAGAAAGAATTAAAATAATCTGATAGGAACTTTTTACAATTTTTTTTGATTACCTCTAATGAAAAGCCAGTGCAATTTAATAAGCTGTTCTCTCTTTCTCTCCCTCCCCTCCCCCTCCCCTTTAATTTTTACAGGTGTCTTCAAAATCTCCTATCAAATACAAAAAATAATCTGCAACAGTGTTAATATCCTGATTATAATATACCAAGAACAAGAATGGAAGTAAATCTATACAGCAATTCCACTGTTATAAACAGTACTTCCATTAACCACAAACAATTGGAAGGGCATAGCCTTTGGGAAGTGATTACAATTGCTACTGTTACAGCAATTGTAAGCCTAATAACTATAGTGGGAAACATTCTTGTAATGATATCCTTCAAAGTCAACAGTCAGCTGAAAACTGTTAACAATTACTACTTACTCAGCCTTGCTTGTGCAGACCTCATCATTGGAATATTTTCTATGAATCTTTACACATCGTATATACTAATAGGCCATTGGTCTCTTGGAAGTCTGGCATGTGACCTGTGGCTAGCACTGGACTATGTAGCTAGTAATGCCTCAGTAATGAATCTGCTGGTTATCAGCTTTGATCGATACTTTTCTATCACAAGGCCTTTAACCTACAGAGCTAAGCGTACACCCAAAAGGGCTGGCATCATGATTGGTCTAGCTTGGTTAATTTCCTTTATTTTGTGGGCACCTGCAATCTTATGTTGGCAGTATTTTGTGGGGGAGCGAACAGTCCCACCTGAAGAATGCCAGATCCAGTTTTTGTATGAACCTATTATCACCTTCGGTACTGCAATTGCTGCTTTCTACATCCCGGTGTCAGTGATGACTATTTTATATTGCCGTATTTATAAAGAAACTGAGAAACGTACCAAGGACCTTGCTGAACTTCAAGGGTCTGATTCCATAGCAGAGCTTGAGATGATAACGCCCCAGAAAACTCTTCTAAAGTCCTGCTTTAGTTGCAAGCAACAGAATTTAGCCAAAAGGGAAAGGTGTCAGGCTTCCTGGTCTTCATCTAGTCGGAGCACTTCAGCCACAGTGAAAGCTTCTCAGACACCAAGTTCTTGTAATGACTGGTCTAAGGCAGACCAGCTAACAACCTGCAGTAGCTATGCATCCTCAGAAGAAGAGGACAAACATGCCACTGATTCTGTCTTTCAAGGAACTTACAAAGGCCCAGTGAAAGATAAGGAAGAAGAATTTAATGAGGAAGAGAATAAAGAAGATTTTATCAAAGACCAGCCTGAGGAAAATGATTTTGAAACCCAGAAATACTTTTTATCTCCAGCCAAAGGCCATATGCAAAAAAGTAAAAAATGTGTGGCCTACAAATTCCGCTTGGTGGTTAAGGCTGATGGCACCCAAGAAACAAATAGCGGTTGCCGAAAAGTAAAAATAACTCCCTGTTCTGCTGCTTTGTCAAAAGAGCCTTCCATCAAGAGCATGGATCCAAATATAAGTAACCAAATCACAAAAAGGAAAAGAATGGTCCTGATAAAAGAACGCAAAGCAGCCCAGACTTTAAGTGCCATTCTTCTGGCATTTATCCTCACTTGGACTCCCTACAACATAATGGTTTTGGTCTCCACATTCTGCTCTGATTGCATCCCAGTAACACTGTGGCACCTTGGTTATTGGCTGTGCTACGTGAATAGCACTGTTAACCCCATCTGTTATGCTCTCTGTAACAAAACTTTCAGGAAGACTTTTAAGATGCTGCTTTTCTGTCAGTGGAAAAAAAAAAAAGTGGAAGAGAAATTATATTGGCAGGGGAATACCAAACTGCCATGAATGTTCTTATATCATGAGGGGAGAACAGTGTACATTGACTAGGCATTGTAAATTGGTTGCGGTTCTTTCTTTTCAGAGGTGTTCCTTTCCACGTGTGGGACACAAAAAATTCAGCACAAAAAAAGGTAAAATTTTGCATGATACTGATATGCTTGGGTTCAGGAGCAGGGCAGCAGAAGCTGCTGTGAACCACAGTGAGTGTCTGTGGTCACTCAGTGGACCTGCATTCCTGTTAGTACTTTAGCAAGCCTCCTGTTCTTCCTTTCATGCAGAGAATGGCAAACTTATCATATGAGAGATGGATTACACCTGTTAAGTCATCCAGTCCATCTACTTGCAGTGCGACATTCTTCTTTCCTGTATATTTTCAACAGTCTTATCTCTTCTAGTTTTAAATGTCCCATGCAATGCAGCTTGCACCATTTCCCCTGTGAGACTAGTCCACAACCTGATTGAATGGAGTAGGGACTGAGTAAAGGCACAAACAGTAGTCCCCAGTAATAAAGAGTTGAAGACAGAGTTGAAGATTATGGACAAACCTTCTCCTTTAGAATAACATGTTTTTGGATGGAAGGAGGGTTTATGGGAGATTAATGTATGTGTGTTTTAAGAACCCAAAGTTAGTAGCATTGTTCTCACACAAATCAGTATCACCTTTAAACAAGGGTGGTAGCAGATATTTCTGAAGTGCTTCTTCACGTCTCAAGTATTCTTAAAAAAATTGTTTAAAAAATAAGTCAATATGACAGTGAGAATGGATGGTACAAAATTGAATGTACTACACTACATAATAGATTTCTTTTGTCTGCTCTCTGATGTACAGCTTATAAGAAAAAGTTTTAAAACTTCTTTAATATTTTTATTGCCCTAAAAGTAACCTTTAGTTTAGTAATACGCAGAACACAGGAAAATATACCTACTGATATCACACAGATTCAATTATATATTAAAAATACTGAAAAAGTTGGTATCACCAGAAGATGGAAACAGGACTTCTAAAGAATCAAGTTGATTTTTTTCTATAATAATATTAACACTTAGCCACTTATACAGTACTTTTTATCTTCAAAGAGCTTTACAAATTTCTCATTAATTGGTTTGGACTTAAAAGTTCTTGTTGGGCTAGATCTTCTGGTCCTGTCAAACTGCATTTGCAGCACAGTTGGGGGTTGAAGAAAAAAAAGGGCTTTAAACCCATGTTGGACTGTGCATTTAGGGATCAGACCCCTGGAGTAAATTGAGTAAAACCTAAGGAGCAGCCAAGGTTTTCAGGGATCTACAGATACCCCCATAATGCCCTTTCTGCCACACGACAGAAAGGGCATTATATAATAGAGGATTCTGTTATGCAGGGAAGAACACTCAGTACCTGAATTCATGATCTTGAGAGCTGCCTTGCAAGAAAAAAATGCTAGAGTGCAGCTGATGATCTGGCCCACAGTGGTGAAATAAAGTCAAGGGTCCAAAAGCAGGAAAAAACCAGGAGAAAACAAAGCAAAAGGTAACAGAAGTTATAGGTATAAAAAGAGTCTGAAAATAAACAAATGCTTATCAACAGATTAAAAAGAATAATTATGAATACAGTACTAGAGGTGAGCTCAAGACATAGAGTTCAGATCCAGCTGTAGCCTTTATCAAAATTCAGAGGTGTTTAGCTCCAGAGATTAGGTTTGGGCCGATCTCCTTATTACAACTACAATATACCTTAGCATGACAATGCAGTGGTCATGAAATACTTGAACTGTTGATAATGCGGCAGATTTCATGGCAATCTTCCTGAATTCATCATTGTTTTCAATGGAATCTCTATATCATTTCATTAAAGGTTGTTACCATGAAAATGTTTCTCCACAACCAAACATTCATGTCAATGAATCTTTGCAAGTTATTAATTTGAAAAAATCCCTAATATTTCAGAGGGGAAATAAGTGTTAATGGAAGACTAGCAGTAATGTGAAAAAATATGAATACAACATGACTGATTTTGAAAAACATTGTATTGTGCCTGTTATTTTTGGTGCATATGACTATTAACAGAAATTATGGGGTTTTATATAGACACATTTATTGATTTTCCTGTGTCATTATCCAGAGGTTTTTTTTTGTCTATAGTGAGCGTGTCCAAGTTGACTATTATAATGGGTTCTTTTTAATTTGCATTGGATCAAACATCATAAATAGTATGTTTGATTCAGTGCAAAATTAATGTACACTTCTGTGACACAAGCTATAGTAAAGGCAAAATTTATAAGGTTGTAAAGTTCCTGCTAACTGCAATGTTGTTGCTAAAGTAAAGCATTGACTTTTACTCCTTTCTTCATGTCCTTGTGACAAGGTATTTAGCAGAATTTGCAGTTTTGTTGGAATCTGACAGGCCATGCTGTAAGCACTTCTGCTATGGCTTTGAACTTGTGATCTCTGGGCTGTCACGTGTATACCTTAGCACCTGCACCATCCCAGCCCAACTTTTACTCCTGGAATTAAATGGGATCTTTTTGTTGCCAGTTTTTGGCTTCTGTTGAACAAGAGTGTTTTTGTAAATGTTTATGGACTCTGTACTGAGTAAATGTTTAAGATTACACAGTGATGGATGCAACAATATCAGTTTAATGTAATTGTGAAATATGTGCTCAATCTATGCTGCTAGCACCTGAGGCATTGCACTGCCAAACCTTGGGGTACATTGTAAATATCTGGAATTATATAAAACAAATATAGGCTGTTTACTGCTTTCCTGATATGGTGTATGATTACTTTAGGCAAAAATGAGCTTCAACAAAACATAATTTGGTAGTTGATTATAACTTGTTTTCAAAATCTGTAAAACTCCTTTTAAAACTTATTGTGTACTTTTACAGTGTAAAACAAACTCATTATCTGTACTTCTGTTCTTTTAACAAACATTTACACATCCTTTAATTTTGACTACTGATCATGGATTGTGTATCTTGTAAAAAGGTTTCTCCTCCTCTTCCTCCTGGTTTTTGTTTAGTTAAATCTTCCTATATTTTCCAGTCTCAACACAAACTCATATTTTTGTAGAGATAATTCTTCTTCAAAATGAATTAACTCATGTTCCTCTCTTTTTCCATTTGCTCTCAGTCACAGTTCTCCCCAACATTTTTTTTAAAGATTCTTCTTCTGTCATTCTCCTTTCTATAAGTAGATCCAAACTTTGAAAGATATTCATAATTCTTGCACTATATATTGAGGACACATCGTGCTTCACATAGACAGAATAAGGACTGGACAGAACTCTAAGAGCTCTCTTTTACCGAAAAATTCTATTTAAATGAATAATGAAGAAAACAAAAGACTTTTAAAGAAATGGTTCTACCTAATCCATCGAATTTGAAGGAAAATTATAGTTTAATCAACATTTTAAGTCAGTTTAAAGTATTTAATAAAGAATCATACCCATGGTACCCAATTCTGTACGTTTGTTTAAAAAAATTAAAAGAGAGATCAATCTCTATTTAATTTTATTTTAAAAATTTCCATAAGGTCATTTTTGTTCCTCAAACTGACACCTGGATGGGAATGCTGTGAATTTAAGGGACATGTTCTACTGGACCCTGTTGTGAATATTTATTTCAAACCAGAATCTTGAGTACCTAAAGCTTGAGGAATTTTAGATTCAGATCCCATTCTAGATGCGAATACTGAGTACATATCTACTTTTAATATAATCTAATCAAATCACTTTATAATTCACACTGTATATGTCCCAGAAAAATTGTATTGTTTCTTCATGTCCACACTTGGTACGTAACATTTTTAAATGAATACTGGAAAAAATTCCCTCAATTTTAGTGCGGTAAAAGTACGGGAACAGATTACTCAGTGAAATTTGGAATATCTCTCACTGGAAGTTTTTAAATGCAAGTTACAAAAACATTTGTCTGGGATAATTTAGACACAGACGATACTGTCTTGAGCAGGACATTGAGCCCTGCTATCATTCTAAGGCAAACACACAATAATTCTAAGGACAGTCACACTTGGTAAAAGTTTCTGCCTGTTCAAAGGAAAATAATCAAATCCCCACTGAGACATAGTAAATGCTTTCATTTAGAAAAATGAAAATTCATTTATAACAATTAAAGAATCTCATGTAATGCTGGAAAGTGCTAATGTACCTAGAAAAAAACTGAGTACAAAATTGAGTGCTGTAATTGTAAGGAAGTAATGTTGAATCAAAAGCCTCAGTTCAGATATGCCTAGATTTGTCCAGTATTTGAACTCGAATCTTTATTTTAATTAGAATTTTTGGAAAGTGTCATATTTATGTGATAGGCCAAACCAACACTTAAACTCAAAACACCTCCCCAAAGTTTAGAGATTTATATAATCTAAATCTGGATCTAAGTTTTCAGGCATCCTGGATGAAAGCTCTCTAAACTTTGGAAGACAAATCCACTGGCTTGTTCAATGTGTAATCAAAAGCTCTAACAGCTGGACTTAAAGAAGCCAAAGAGAGTTAGGTACCCAGCTCTGATAACTTCAGTGGCATTTGTTACTTTATTCTTTTCATCTCCTTTGAAAATCCAGCCTATGTGTTTCCCCTTTCTGAAATGTATATTTAGCACGTACAACATTTTTACTTACTTTCTATAAAAAAACCTTTCACGTAATAATATTTGGCTAGCTAAGGTTTTTTAAATGGAGATTCTTCACTTGAATAGGCTTCAGAGTTTGTTCTTCACATGCAGAGTGATGAAGAATTGTTTTTGTATTCTTACTGTAAGTATATTTTATTGCCAATGGTTCCCCAACCTAAAAGTTTCCTTCTAGTCTGTCTAATAGTCATCACACCATAAATAATAGTGAGGAACCACTTGAGCATTGAGGATCCAAACAACTTTGTAAATACACTATATATAATCTGTACAATTTAGCTATGTGCATGCATCACTTCACTAAGAGAGTTCCAGTGGTTGTTGGAAATAAAAGATCATGACAGCCACTAGAGGGCTCAAAACTTTTTAAAAAGATTTTAC